CTTTCTTTCTTTCTTTCTTTCTTTCTTTCTTTCTTTCTTTCTTTCTTTCTTTCTATTTTTGTTTTGTTTTCCCCGTCCAGGGTAAAGTTATTTCTGAGATGGGGGAAATTCATTACATATGCCTTTGATCTGTGTGCACCCCTCAGCAGCTAGGATGGGTGAGAAGGATCCCAGGGAGTAGAGAGCTTATTGGGGTCCCAGCTCTTCCCAGCTACACAGCTCAGCTGAGAAAACTGGGAAAAGAGAAAATGAACAGGTCTCTGGCAAACAAGACTTTTGTTCTGTTTTCTTGGTTCCTACCTCCTTAATGTGAATTGGTCAACTTGCCTGCCATTGGCAGGGGCAGAAGCAACCAAGTGGATGGCTAGGATCCTGTAAATGACTATGAAAATGTCACACAGGCTACTGCTCCCCAGGCTAGCCAGAACCAGAGAGAAGAAAACAGAAAACAACAAAACAAAACAAACAAGCAAACAACAACAACAAAACCCCAGAAGCTTGGGAAAGATTTGAGCCTGTGGAAATGATCTTCTTGCCCTCTAAATAAAAGCAGAAGGGGTGCTGTCTTTCCCCTGCAGAATTGCCATTTTCTGGGCTAGCCAGGCACACTCACATGTACAAGAGTTAGGTGTGATACTCTTTTGTCCTCGGTAAGGCCAGGCTTTTCTTTTGGCGTTGTAACTTAGTATTCTTTCATTAGCGCTGTGAGTTGGCCAGTTCAGAGTTTTGTTTGTTTGCTTTTTAAATTACGTTGAAGCTAAGTTCCCCAGTTCTACTGACTTCCACATTAGAATGCTTTTGTTCGGGTTCACCAGAACCAGAATAGGTCACTGTGCAAATAAAACTGATAGCCAAAGTGAACCTCAGCCAGCATTCCCAAGTCAGTCTTTGGCCCCTGCAGACTAAGCCCTGGTGCTGCGAATGGAAGATAGGTACTGCTTGCACCAGCTGGAACTCTGACTCTTCTGTTTGCTTCCAGAAGGTTCTCTGTGCAGAGATGTGCCCGCTGCCACCTTGGCATCTCCGCCTCTGAGATGGTCATGCGCGCCCGAGACTCTGTCTATCATCTGAGCTGCTTCACCTGCTCCACTTGCAACAAGACCTTGACCACGGGAGACCATTTCGGCATGAAGGACAGCCTGGTGTACTGCCGTGCACACTTCGAGACCCTCTTGCAAGGGGAGTATCCACCTCAACTGAGCTACACGGAGTTGGCAGCCAAGAGCGGAGGCTTGGCTTTGCCTTACTTCAATGGCACTGGCACGGTGCAGAAGGGGAGGCCCCGGAAGCGGAAGAGCCCAGCTCTGGGAGTGGACATCGTGAATTACAACTCAGGTGGGCCCTTAACCTTACCCACCCCGACAGCTCAGATCTCAGAGTGCTGGAGGAGGATTTGGCAGAGCCGGTTCCTTTTTCAGGACCCCGGGACCCAGTGGCCAAGACAGTGCTTTGCCTAACATGACCCTGCTCTCACCACAAACCCTTCTCAGTCTGAGCAAGAGAAAGGAGAGAAGTAAAGAGGATGGAAGGGGAGAGAGGATGGGTTATTGAGCTTGTGAAGAAAAAAAAAATTATAACCATGGGGCTAAAGTGACTTCCCCCAAACAGGCAAAGCCAAATCCTTGTTGCCCATTAGTTAATGAGCCCATTAGTTTCTGGCTCTCAGTTGGAGCAAAACAGCCCCAGGGCAATTCCTTTGTTGGAGCCAAATTATAGATCCTGGAGGAGGTTTTCCTAAATAGTTAATGGGGGGAAAGAAAGACTTCAGAGCCCAGTTCCACTCTGTCTGGAGGGGGCAGAGGCTGTGGTCACCAGCCCAAAGTTAATCAGCAACATAGTTGGCAAGGGTATTGAAAAACTGAATCTCTGATCCTGGCAAAGAGAACTGTTGGGTGGGACTCATTCTGCACAGCTGAGACAGTTGTGTCTCTGGAGGGTCAGGGTAGTCACCCAGCCTACTACTCCCTGCCTGATATGTCATCAGGTCCTCTTGACCTCCGACACAACCCCGAGGAATCTCCTGGTCCAGTCCAGTGGGTTGCTCAGTCCTATGTCAGGCTGCTTGTTTGCCTGCTGCCAGCCTTCTCTCAATGCAAAACAAAGCGCAGACAACAGCTCCCAAAGACTTCCTTGCGTTGGAGAAAGCACCCATCCATCTGCTTCACACCCGTGCACCAGTTTCTTCCTGTTGATAACCTGTCTCCTCTTCCCATCCTGGAGGTCAGGCTCTTGGCGACCCTGAAGACCTGAGCTCTTAGAGTAAGCACAGAGGGGAAGTGGGTCCCAGAAAACCTAGGCTGATTTTGGGAACGCCCCAGGAATTGGACTGCTCTGATTTCCCATGTCCTGGCCCAAACTGATTTAGGAACTCAACACACAGGGGACTTGGACTGCTGGAAGAGATGCACTGGCTAATCGTGCATATCCAGCCCTATGCCTGGTTGTTTCCTGGGATTCTTTTTTAAATTTAGGGAATCTGGAATCTGTTTTGGGATGGAGCAGAGAGATCGAGAGAGAAGGGACACACAACCCAAAAAGGCCTCAGTTGTCTCTATCGAATTCACATCTGGGCAGCGGCTGGACCAAGGGAAAAGAGCCAACATAGAGGCTAAGGGCGGCTCTGTGTTCTGTAGCAAGCACAACCCAGGGGTTGGCCATGGGCATTTGCGGCTTTGCCTGGCTGCACCCTGCCCCCCCCCCCTCCACCCGCGCCCTTGCTAAGCTGGGGCAGGGCTTTGCCTAGAGTCCAATTGCCCACTGCAAACTCTATCATCTATAATGCATAGTCCTCAAGGCAAAACAGGCAGGACACTAATTGTTCTTTGTTAATAGAAGATGACAGTGGAATTTCCAACCTCTCACCGAGACCTGACTGTCCTACTGAGAGAGGAGAGGAGGGGAAGGGAGGAGGTCTGGAATGGGAAGGGGAGGAAGGGACACTGGGTTTTATACAACCGGTGGGAGAGAGAATGATGCTGGCACCCCATGAAATCCAGAGGGATGGGGATTTCTAGTTAAACTGGGAGCAAGTTCGGCTCTTGGCTTGCTTTAGTTAATCTAATTAGCTAAATTTGGTTTTGCCTTGGATCTTTATGTTAGATGGTTCCAAGAAGCTTTCAGAGTAATAGAATTTAGCTTCTCTTAGTTTTTACTTTTTAAAAAGACAAATAGAGAAGGCAAAAAGCTGCTTAGGTTCTATGTTGGTTCCTTAGGGCTGCTCAGTCTCTGAGTACACTATCCTGTTCCTGAACAGCAGAAAAATGGCCCAGGCTGCCCAGTCCACTGTAGCCTCTTAACACCCTTTCCTGGATGTCACCAGAGACACAATCAAATCGAACACATTTCTTTAAGATTATAAAGATTGCCTGGAGAAACTGGTTTTAAGTAATCTAAGCAAAAATCATCCTCATTTACAAAAAAATTTATGATTCTAATGTCAGCTTGTCACACAGTCCAATAGGGCAGGGGCGGAGTGAGGAGGGTGGGTTAGCAAGTTTAAAACATATTAAAATTTAGAACATACAAGTCACCTACATTTTAAGCTCATTGGTTTTTAGCATTATTTAGGTTTTCTCTTGCTATTTCTCCTGAAATGTAAAGCTTCGCAAAAAACAGCATTAATGGGATCCAAGTAAATTCATACAATGAATTTTTAAAAAGGTATACACAAAGCATATTCCGGATCCAAAGACTGTCAGAGGTCAGTTAGTGCTTGCCGTAGTTTAAGCACTTTTCAGTGGAATGCTCCTAGTTTGGTTTCGACTTCTTTGTACCTGTTCACCAAACTATTCAGGCTGATTTTTTTTTTTTTTGGAAGAAAAATTACCTATTTATATTTAAGATAAAAAGATCATTTATCTGAAATGTTGGCTTGAAATAAGGACCTGCAGAGGTGAGAGGATTCAGTCTAGGGTAGACAGGTCCTGTTTGGATAACTGACCATTAACTATGAAACTGGATTTCTGCTACTTCTCACTCCCACCCCCAGGTTCTTTCATCTAAATCTGCACGACTTTTCCTTGTTAAATTAGCCTGGCACTGACCCCTAGTGGTCTCCTAGGAATTAGTTAATTCTCAGAAGGTTTGGAACCCTTAGAACAGAAACTCATTTTAGATAGGTGACCCTCTCTCAAGCAACTGGATGTAAAACATTTTGCTCTTCTTGTTATCTTCAGTAGCAACAGAGGCATAGGCTCAGGTGGGGATTTGAAGCAACTTAAAGAGAGTTATTTGTTCTTATAATTCAGGGGGAAAGATCCCTAAGGCTTAGAAATGCTGGGAACACAATCAGCTGCAAATTTACATAAAGCTTTTGTCATTAAACACAAGTAATTTAGGGTAAGCTGCTATATTGTGGCAGAAATTGATTTCTCTATCAATTTGCAGAATGTAGGTGCAAACATAGCCACATGAAAATCATATATTGTAAGAAAGACCTGGTATCTCTGTTCTTACACACTGAATTGCCATGCGGTGGCAAACCCAGTAATTCTTTCTAATGCACGAAACCACTGTACTGAATTTGCAACGAGCAAAACCAAATACAGAGGACATATTTAGAAAAGCAATCTCCTCGAATCTTATTTTAATTGCTTTTTTTCTCTTAGATTCATTTCAAATGATGAATAGCTAGATAGCTAAGTTGGGAATCATATTTATTTCTAGGAAATGTTATCCTGGGAGAGGTGGAAATAAGTGTGTTATTTAAGCATCACGTTGAGGCTCTTGACACAATTGATGTGTTGTTCAGGAAAAGTTGCTCACATTGGCTAGGCACACTCTCTCATTTAAAGAAGCCTCCAACGCCTGGAATGTGCCTCTTTGAGCAAGTTGCTGAGGGTCTATTTGTAATCTGGATGTGAAATATGGCTCAGTTTACTGGAGATATTATAGTTTTATAGTCACAGGATGCTGTTTCATCCATTTGAGGATCTCGCAGTGCAATTCTGCAGACTATTTGAAGGTGACATATCCCCGCTGGGATGAAATAGGGCAAAATGTAAAAGATACTCTCTTTGTTACTTGTGGGTATATGTTTCCATTCTGGCAGGCCTTAGAATCTTAAGACCAAAGTTTGGCAGTATCTGTCTGACTTGGGTACCAGCTCAAGGTGATTGGACTTTGTATTAGCATGCACGTAGGATGTTCCTGGTGAACAAAGGGCTGGGAGGGTGTACTTGTGAGTTCATGGTCTTTTTGTTTGACTTAGGAATGCACAGGAGAATATGATACAGTCCTTTCCCCCAGAAAACTCACGGACACCTGCTCCTTTGTTTGACTGCTCTCTTGGGTGATTTCCCACCTTTGTGTCTTGGGATACACAAAAGTTGATAATTCTTCATTTTATATATTTGGGATAATTTCTCATTAAATGAGTTTTATTTGCAGTAGATTTCCTGTCTGATGACCACAAAACTGCATATATGCTGAGTTCTGAGCACATATATGCTTATCCACATGCAAATAGGAAATTCTGAAGTTCTAACCCGAGCCTGGCAGGCAGATACCATTTTCTAAAGCAGGAGAGGGCTAACATTAAAAGATGACTCACCCCTTTAAAGATTTAAGCTTTTCTTTCAGTATGACATGATCAGATTGATTTGAAATAATGCATAGAAGCACAGGATGGTCAGATGTGAAAGTACCCCAGATGAATATATGAAATAAGGGCCCAAGAACCAAAGACAGCTCTGTCCTTGAATTGCATAGGTGAGTAAGCCAGGAAATATTTAGTGAAATGTTTTCATCTTGTAGTCATGTCTTGTGCAGAACAAGGAAGTGGCTGTAAATATGATGAACTTTCACATCCTGAGAAGAAGGACTTTTCCCTGGTTTTAAAGCCCGATTTACTTTGCTCTTGGTGTCAAGGAGAGTTTTGCAAGAGCAGAGAAGATGTTGCCCTCTTACTGACAGGCTGGTCAGTGGTGCAGGTCATACCTGACTCACACACATCCACAACACAGGAGACCAAGCTGGGTAGGAACCATCATTATGTCTCAATGGTGAGCTGCGGGGAGTGCGTCAGGCAGGAGCGAATGAGGAGACTGGGATCATTTTCTTTCAGAAATATTTATTAGGCTAACTCCAAGGAAAAGGTGTTTTCTTCCTGGCATAGCTCAAGCTAACCAGTTGTAGCTGAAACTCCTCAAATGCAATGCTCTCATATTCTCTAAGACATTCAAAAGTGTCATTTTCTCATGTCTCCTCGTTTTTCCTATCATGTTCTTTTTCCCTCTCGAGAAAGCACCACAAACATAAGAAATTCTTTAGATTATTCCTTGGTTTCCTGTGTGCGTACACATACTGTGCTGTTAGATAACTTGAAACTTCAGACCTGAAATACATTCGCCACATTTGTCATGTAAAGAACAGTGCCTTGATACAGTACAGGACAAGGCAGAAACAGGCAAAATGGCACAAAAACCCATGTGAATGTGGACACCTGGGTGCAGATCCACATAAACTTCTTCTTCTTCCTCCTCCTCCTCTCCTCTTCTTCTCCTTCCTCTTCCTCTCCTTCTGCTTTGAGGTCGCTCTTACTCCCTACATTTTCTGGAGCATCAATCAGGGAGAAAAGGCGTTATCTTCTATTTTCTGTTATGTAGATCAGCAGTATCCAAATAGCCTAGTTAAGCTGACTATAGCCATTGTCTTCTAGTCTGGATATCACTCACCGTTGAGTTGACAGCCTTTTGCTTTATGATGACGGTAGTATCGCATGCCTTTCATCTTTTAAGCTGATGTATACGTTTCCACTGAGCAGTTGTTTGTCCACTGTTTCTGCAACAGGTTGTAATGAGAACGAGGCAGATCACTTGGACCGGGACCAGCAGCCTTATCCACCTTCCCAGAAGACCAAACGCATGCGAACATCCTTCAAGCACCACCAGCTCCGGACCATGAAATCCTACTTTGCCATCAACCACAACCCGGATGCCAAGGACCTCAAGCAGCTTGCTCAAAAAACAGGCCTGACCAAAAGAGTCTTGCAGGTAAGCCACGTCCATCGTTGGCTTTGTATATATGTCCACCCTTCCCCTCGACAGTGACTAGCTCTCTTCCCTAATCACCTGGGGATAGATATTTCCTCTTCGGCTTCCTAAGAGTCTCCTTCTGTAGTTATCTTCCTACAGGGGCTTCCTGGAGAGTACTCAGGGAGTCTGTGAGGACTCACATTTTCCCTCCAGATGGAGAGCTGGGCTCCAAAGTTTCATTGCTGTGTAAACGGCATTACCTTTATTTAAACAAGTGTTGCCTGTAGAGATGTCCACTCACATTGGGTTTAGTGCACTAGGGTCTAAGGATCTGCTGTCCCATGTCTGCAGACTCTTGGCAGCCCATTCATGTTAGGACCTTCCAAATTCAGGTGGCCTGCCCCCCAGTACCCGAACAGTCGAAGGTCAGACTCGCATCTCAGCAAGAAGTTGGAGCTGTTTTTCTGTTTTACCAAGCCATTATTAAAAATCTAGCGTCCTTCTGGGTGTTGAATTGCTTTTCCAGGCTTATAGTAAGAATTATAAAATGATACAAGGTTACGGCTAGTGACCTGTGATCTCCCCCTCAGTGGCAAGTAGCAGACTTCTTCTGTTCTATGGCTGTTTGGGGTCTGTGGCTGGGAAGAGTATTTCTGCCCATAGAGCATTTGTCAGGCTTCGGACTAGCAAACAGCTTAACCTCTGGTTAAGCTCCCCTCACATGAGAAGTTCTTAGTTTGAGACACTTTGGTGACCCTGCTTTTCCCTATTGAGGAATGGTGTGCTTTCCCCTAGTCTCCATGCCTTTGTTTCTGTGGTTTCCCTGCTCCAATACTAGTTATCCTAAGTGGCACATTTAATGCAGCAATATGTACAGTAAAGAGAAAAATAACTCTAGTCTATTACTCGAAGTAGTCTATTTTGAAAGAAGTAGAAGAAGTCCACTTTCTTTCCAAGAAAAAATGATATTTAAAAGGAGAAATAGAAGAAAGGAAAAAGAGAAAAAAGGAATAGAGCGAGAAAAAAAACTTAAAAAAAATCGATAAAGAAATCAATTGGGATTGGTTTGCAGGTTTGGTTCCAAAACGCACGAGCCAAATTCAGAAGGAACCTTTTGCGGCAGGAGAATGGGGGTGTTGATAAAGCTGACGGCACGTCGCTTCCGGCCCCGCCCTCAGCAGACAGCGGCGCTCTCACTCCACCCGGCACTGCGACCACTTTAACAGACCTGACCAATCCCACTGTCACTGTAGTGACATCTGTGACCTCTAACATGGACAGCCACGAATCCGGAAGCCCCTCACAAACTACCTTAACGAACCTTTTCTAACATTGGTTTTTTTTTAAAAAAAGGATTCTTCCTCCTTTTATTTTTATTCTAATATTATTATTTTATTATTTACGAGATTTTTTTTTTCCCTTCTCCTAACCCACAAGATGTTTGGGGAATCAATAGCAGCTTGGTGTGTAGCATCTACACCGCTTGGCTATGAGTTTACAGTATTGTCGCTTTTAAGTGAACGTATTTTGTCTACACGGTGTACTTGATCTTTTTTTCTTTAATCAGGTGGTTTCAGTTGGTAAGGGGAGATTTTGAATCATTCTAGTAAGTGCCTCTTAAAATTGTATGTTACTTGTTTCCAGAATCTCGAAGGGAGAAAATGGATGGTATTATGTTGGGCAAATCATATCCCTGTTTCTGTGATCGGGTTATTAATGAACCAGACACTTAATAAGTTTTCTAAAGTCTTACAATTTACAATTTTCATGCTAAGAAATTAAAAACAAATGTACTATTTCTGTTTTTTTTTTTTAACCTGAACTATTAATTCAAGTGAGGGATATGATTAAACAAAACATTAACATCAATTTTAAATAGCAACAGTTAACTGGGTGGGAAGTCTAACTCAGGAATGTAACTTCCTGTTGTTAGGGCTGCACCCCCCACTTTTTTTTTTTTTTTTTTACTGTTTTTCGAAAGTGAAAAAAAACCCCACAACAACCTTAAACTCCTTGTGTATCCATGGGAATTACACTTAAAATGTGAAATTCTGTACTTTTGACCTCCTAATTTTAAAAAGTGAAAAGATAATATTTTTTTTAGCCAGTCTCTGAAACTGTCTTTTTCCTTAACTTTTCCCCTAGAGAAATGGAAATAAGCAAAATACAATTTTTTAAGAAGTAGAAATTGGCATAATTTAATTAATAATTAATTGGCTTCAGCTGTACCATGATATTGTATCTGGCATTCTATATAATGTCTTTTTTTTTTAAAAAAACAACTTAGTAAATGCATACCAACACTGAGAATTATTGGGTTCTTCCTTATTTTGTTTTGGCAAGGGTTGATTTATGTGTAAAAAATCTTTTTAATATTACAGATGTGAAGTTATGAGTCTTAAAGTAGATAAACTCAGAAGCCTTGTGGATGCTGATCTGACTATATTTCCTAGTTTACAGCAGCATTTTTTTTCTTTTAATTTAACGTGAAATCTTAATGGTCTGGGCAGTGGTGAATGTTCATCTACCTGCTTCTGTTGTAGTTAAAAAAAAAAAAAAACCAACCAACCAACCAACTAGATTGTGGATTTCCTAAAATAATCAAGAAGAAGTCAAGATCTACGTCTTGCTTTAGTGGATTGTTCAGAATGACTTTGCACATACTGTCCACTCTTTTGCACCCTTTAATCTCCTCTGGTGGTCGAAGTGGCTATTTAATAGATTTTAAAGGTGCCCTTCTGGCTGTATAAATGTGTGGTTACATATTGACAGTTCACTGCCCACATTAAAGTGCATTATTGTAACTTTTGCTCAGGGTCTTTAGAAAATTAGCACAGAAAGTAGCTTATTTTTTAAAAAAAAAGATGATGGAAGAGAAGTTAACACTGTAACAGAAGAAAGTGTGATCGCCATTATATATTTAGCAAGTGTGGTCATCTTCTATGGAGCTTAAATCTTGACTTTTCATATTTCTCTTACATTTTGGGCATTTACCACTAACCAGACCAAACAACCTTCTTAAGGCTGAGATCTTATTAACACACTTTTACAGGTAAAATATCGATACTTAGAAATTTTGTTCTTTGACAGAACAATATATGGTACTACAGACCTACTTTATTAAGTAGACTAATTATAACTCAGTTCTCCTATGTGCCTTATGATATAACTTGGAAATAAGTTTGTGAAAAATCAGGATATATGTGTTGTTTGTTAAATTAACTGTTTTAAGCCCTTTTGACACCTCACTAGTTTTGTACTGTTTTACCTCTCATTTCTGAAACTCTTTTTATGGTGTATCCTGTTAGAGGGGACAAACATGTCATAGAAAGCAGTTGTGCACTCTTTCAAATATAGTTGATAAATTCAATAATCTTATATATTGAGCTTCGTGTTTATAGTACAGTAAGTGGTCTAGCAAAATTGTCCATGTTCCTTTGTTTATTGATAAATGCATTGTATAGAAACTATTTCCCCTAAATATTTATGGACCAAACAATTGTGATATATCCTATTAAATTTGTGTGAATAAACCATTTTGAATCTAAGGAGTTTTATTTCCCATCAGTTTTACTTGTGTTAGCATACTTTCAATATTTATGTGTAAAAGCTAAGAAATAGCAGCACAATTAAAAAATTCAAACAGACAAATAGTTCTTAGGTTCCCAAAGTTCTGATTCATATCAAATACACACACCATTGTATATAATTGTGATTCAATCTTGAATTATCCTTAAATATTCTTGTTTATAATAAAAGTAATGCCCCACTGATTTGACTCAGTTCAGTTTTTAGAATAAAAATAAATTAGCTGATTCATAGTTGCATGAAAAGAAATCTTAAAGATGATTACGATTTAATATCAGGTCTATTGAGCTCTAGTGGATATTTGTAAATCTAAATAGAAATTGCAGACCCCTAAAAGCCAAGTTGCTCTGTAGTTAATAAATTGTCACTATGATTTTTTTTCAGGGAGAACAAATCTTGGGGCATTACAGCCAAACATCCCGACGTTTGAAAATTCCCTAAAGTATTAAAAGAAGGGGAAAAGTTTGATCGGAAATCCACTGCAGTGAAGACAAAGACCCTATTAGGTTATGATAATTATACACTTAAAAGTTTATTAACCAAAAGAGAGAGAGAGAGAGAAAGAGAGAGAGAGAAAGAGAGAGAGAGAGAGTGACTTAAGTGTCATTTATTGAATGTTAACAAAACTTCTGTTCTTTATGATGTCTGACACAAATGAAGGCTTAACCTCATGTGGTTTAATAAAAGAGCAAGATAAACCACGCAGAAAACCAGAGCAACCTGGCAGTAATACGCCCTCCCCACATTTGGAGAAAATTATTATTGAAACAACTCCACACATTTGTCAAGCACAATAACTGTAAAATAAAGTCCCAAAACATCCATTTCATCTGCTTGCTAATGTGTATCAGTCCTATCTCTTAATGTCATTTTCCAATTGTAAATTCAGAGGATAACTTTTGCTCATTACCAAGAGTGTAGGGTTCAAACCCAGCGGTTTTAGTACAATTGTCTATACTTCCTTTCTAAACAGAAGGCCCTGCATGCACTTTTGCATCTGTCACCTCTAGTGTACATCTCTGTAATGATGACTTTGCTGTTTCCTGTATGATAAATAGCTTTCATGAATAAACATTTTATTTGATGCAAATATAGTTAACTTTATGTTAAGCACACATTGTTGAAATTAATTTTGAACACTGTCTTAAAGAGTCAGGGCATGAAGTACATTTGCAGCCTGTTATGCCCAAGGGAAAAATTTACAGACTAGAGAATTAGGTGAAATTATTTTCTTTGATTTTAACTTTTATGGCTTATTTTCATTTATTTATATTCAGTTGGCACATGGATGAAAATAAAATAGCAAGCCCAAATTACAACAAAAGAGACATCAGAATAACTTATTATGTAAAATTCCAGCCACCTTTTGTACATTCTAGGGTAACGCTTATAGATTCTCTGTGAGTTTACATGTTCACTATGCAATGAACAAATTTATTGAAGTATTTAAGTATATTCTGAGCGCTGACATTTTTGTTCTTTGTGTAGTTCAGGTTGCACAGGTATCAGAAACAAAGGATCAATTGGAAAGAAGAACAAATATTTAGGAATGAGGTTTCTTTTCATCGTTAAAGGGAATACTTGAAGAAAGAATTGTGTGAAGCTCCTTTTACTTAGCTCTAGATCCAAAGCACATGTTAAACAAATTAGCATATAGAATAATTTCCAGAAAAAAAATTCCTTATGAAATTTTTATTATGTACAAATAAACCCTATGTAAAGGATGTAAGTTTTATGAATGATAGACATAAAATATCTCATATTTATTCTCAGAACTTTGAATGTTTTCTCAAACACTTTCATTTTCTGAATGCTAACCAAGGAAAACAAAAGGATGAAAGGACAGGTACCAACTTAACTAACAATGCACCCAGAATGCACCATGCCAAGTGCACTGCTTTGAGCCATCACGGAACATGTTAGTGTTGTCAGTCACTTGGATGTTTATGGCTCATCGAAATCTCATCCATAGTGCTAGCAGCCTGAATGGGTTTTCCAACACATTTTCAGCAAGCGTGTTGAAACCTTGGTCCTGTAGGCTTTGCCTTCTTTTCCTGTTCTGTCACCTAGGGCAGTTTCATTTTGAAATATTTTTGGAAGCTTGCCTGGTTTTTCAGACTTTTAACTATCTGTCTGGTATGTGAAATGCGGGAAGAGACCAAAGAGAGAAAGAACGTAGCTGAATTAGACATCTGAAAAAAATAATACAAATTTGAAACAGGCATGCTTTTTAAAAGAAGAGAAAAAGAACACTAATTATGTGAATGGGACGTGGAAAAATCACGTGATGCAGGCTTGGAAGGTCTAACACACTTTCCTATGAGGTACGACAGTCTTCAGTCTGGGCAACTACACATTTATTGTTTGGCGTAGATTAGAAGACTGAGGATATTTTAGATGGGTGCAGGGCACCAAATTATAGCTTCTACCTCCCCAGATGCCTAGATGAATATAACTTCTGGCAAATTGATCCTAGGAACACAAACTCTTACCGACAATATCTGTGAACTTTGGTTAAATACCATTGTAATATTGACTTACATAGTAGGTAGGCTTTTGATACTTCAAATAGAGTAAAACTTCATAACACAGAAACCAAAGCAAACAACTCTTAGAGCCTTGGTGATTTTCATTACCTAAAATGCCAATAGCTTTACTTAGCAGCATCCCAGTGGGATTTACTGTACAGTTTTCAGAGTGACGGCTCTTTTATTAGGCACATATAAGGTAGCATCGTTTTCTATCGCAGTATGCCTGCAGAGAGCACTGCAGAGTGGTGGGAAGCATCAGAAATGGCAAGTGCTGGGACAAAAACATGGCATTCTATCATCTTAGGCTTTTAAGGAAAATCAAGAGATAATGCTGTTGTGATGAAAAGATAAAGTTTTGAATAGAGTTTTGTTATTTCATTTTTAACTGTGTTACTAGCACAGTTAACTTCACTTGGAAGAAGATGACAAACTGTGAAGGAGACTCAACACCTTTTAGACTTTATGGTTGCTGGCCAATAAGAACACTGGGGCTTAGTCTAGACTAAGTAAATAATGTTGAATTTTTTTGGAAACTGTGCATATAGAGAAGTCTCTATGGGCCTATGGATGAATATATTTTCTATTTCTAGTAATGAGAAGTCAGTTCTGAAGACTGACATGAAAAACAGTAACAAAACAAAAAAACCTCTGATGTACAATTCTTTGCTATACAGATAATGTAACAAAATTGGAACCTAAGTCTCTTTAGCTTTTGCTATTGATTTGTGTCCTTTTTGGTCTCACCTATTTTGTCTTTATGGTATTTTTCAAATTATTATGAGTTCCCTTATTTTCAAAAATAAAATCCCCAAGTTAAAATATTCTTTATAATGCCTTCTGGGAACATTCCCATTTTATTTTCCTGGATTTCGTTGCAAAAAGAAAAATAACTGTGCATGATGCTCAAAGAGTCTGTGAACAGGAAGTAAGCGGCAAGACGATTGCCGGGATTCACTTGCTCGTTAACTGTGTTGCAAAATCAATGTTTCAATCAGACACCATCTCCCGCTTGCTACATTTCTCTGTGAGCAGTAATAAAAAACAAGAAATCAACCCCAAACATTGGCAAGTTTCGCTTCTCTTGGATTGTTGATTTTTGCTTCTCTGTGTTACATTTTATTTTGTGCTGAAATGACAAGAAACAAGCAAGGATAAAGATCCAGGCATCAGGGGGGAAGTTCTGATGTCTGTTTCTGTGTCCCTTCAGGGGTCACTTGTTAGAAGCATCAGGAATGTTTCTTTCCTTTGGACTCTTTCTGTTTACATGTGCATGATCTCATAAATGACTCTGAAGTGTACCTGGATACCTTTTATGGTTATTTGAAAATAAAATTTGCTTCATATAATGTCTGAATGCATTGATTTTTTTAATACTTTCACATAGAAACAAAAAGTTGATCTTTTGAGGATGTTTAAATTGTTATTTATGGCAAACAGATGAAGAAATTCCAAGATAAGATTGCCTTTACTTCATAAATTTCATTTTCCTCTTTTCCTTTTCCAAAGTAGCAAAATCCAAGATGAACTGTTAGCTTTGCCTTTGACCTTCAAGGCTTCTGAGCGCATGTGATTTTTGAAGAGCACGGAGGTATTTCAGAATTTCAAAAACAAAAACAAACAAAAAAACAAAAAACAAAAAAAACCTGCTTGAATTCTGAGAGCAAGAATACTTTCTTAAAGGAAAAATGGTGGGAAATTATTTTCAGTGTAATATTCATAGCATTTTACCCAAGTGAACTAGATACTATAGACAAATTTTAAAGAGTTACAAAAGGGTTGTGAAGTAAACAGATGATGGCATTTATCTATACCAAAAATTGGGATAGCTTACTTTATAAAATATGATCACAAACTTGCCTAATTTTTTTGTATGCACTTCAATGACAAGGGTATGTTTATATTTCCAATGGTACAGATTAATTATTTACTAGATTTTTCTCTTACATTTAACAATTTTATCCTGTTGAATTTTGTGTGCATGTTTTGAATATTTTATTCATATCATCTATTTAAGCCATCTATTAATTAAATGCAAAGCAAATGTAAACAATGGCAATTATTTGATTCAGCTGCAGTGACAAGTGTACTTTTTATTGAGTAAGCAGTGCTCATGTTCTTACACATTTGGTGACAGTAATTTCTGGGTTCTGTGTAAGTCACTTCCTTCTTTCAGCTTGACCATAACTTTTCTTTTTATTAAAATTGCCCTCTTGAACTATTATTGCATTCAACTAAGTTCGACCAATGTATGCATTTCAGTATAAGTAACAAAAGGATTTTTTTTTGTTTGAAGAAATAGTTTACTTGATTTTACCTATTAAGGAGGACAGCAGAGAAAAAAGTTCTATCACAATTCTAGCAGTATATTTTGATTTAAAGTTAGCTTTATTATTATACTAAAGTGTTCACACATCAATGAGTTCATTATTACACGTGAAAGACATTCTTTTCCTTTTTCTTTGGTTTTTTGAGACAGGCTTTTTCTGTGTAGCTTTGGTACCTGTGCTGGAACTCACTCTGTAAGCCAAGTTGGTCTTGAATTCACAGAGATCTGCTGCCTCTGTCCCTCACCTCCAAGGCTGCGATTAAAGGCGTGTGTTACCATTGCCTAGCAAAACACAAATTTCTTGATCTGTGCATGTATATGAACCCTAGAAATACTCATTATGGCATGCTAAATGTGCATACTATACAAGAGAATTAGATCTAGAGGTTAACCAAGGGACAGTTCACACACATGCAACTTTAATAGTATAAATACCTATCACACAGTGGATCATGAGGTGCTTGGTATTTTTTTTCTTCAATATTTTCCAGCCAACTCCTACTAGATAATTTACTTTTATTTATGTATTTATTTTTTTACTCAGATATGCATAGAATCATTCCATGTGCCAGAAGGAGCCTTACTAGACCGACTAAAATTCCTTCCTTCCTTTCTTCCCTTGCTCCCTCTTTTCCTCTCTCTCTCTCTCCCCCTCCCTTCCTCCCTCCCTCCTTCCTTTCTTCCTTCTTCTCTTTCTGAAGCAGGTCTCATATATTCTAGTCTGGCCTCAAAATTGATATGTAGCTAAGGATTACCCTAATCATGCAATCCCCCTACCTTTGCTCCCAGGATGTTGGAGTTACAGGCTTGCATTCCAGTTACAGGTTTGTGGTGGTTTGAAATAAAGTAGACCCCATAGGAATTGGCATTATTAGGAAGTGTGGCTTTGTAGGAGTAGGTGTGGCCTTGTTGGAGGAAGTGTGTCACTGTGGGGGTGGGCTTCGAGGTCTGCTTTGCTCGAGCTATGCCCAGTGCGGGAGACAGTTCCCTTCCTGTTGCCTGCGGATCAAGATGTAGAAATCTCAGCTCCTTCTCAAGCACCATGTCTGCCTGTGTGACACCAGGTCCTGCCATGATGGTAATAGACTAAGCTCTGAAACTGTAAGTCAGCCAAATGAAGTGTTTTCTTTTCTAAGAGTTACCGTGGTCATGATGTCTCTTCACAGCAATAGAAACTCTAAGACACAGGTATTATGTGTGTAGTGCTGAAGACTAAACCCAGGGCTTGCCAGTGCTACGGAAGCACACACTGGTGCAGCTGAAGCTCTGCCCATTAGCTCATTTCTTAAAAGAGAAATTACAAAGCGAGTTGTGTATTGTTTCTTGTTTAAACACCATTGCAGTCTGTTTTGCTTTGTGTTGGGCATCGAACCTAGGACCTCACATGTGCTAGGCGAGTGCTATCGTACTGAACCATAGGTCCAGCCTTTGGTAAGCACCTATTTGGAAGAACATGGATGTCAGAAGTTTCTGTTTAGTTTCTGCAGGTATAGTTTTCTTTCACTATTGGTGAAGCAAGTCATTGCAGCAGCATGGCAAGTGCCATTTGTTCTGAAGTGTTGTATGTTTCAATACATTTGGAAGGGTTATGATTGATGTTAAACAGAGATGGTTATTATTTAGTAGAATTTTCTATAACCTTTATCCAGCACATCACTTACCATTGTTTTCTACTAAATTCTTTGACCTGACTTTGAGCTTCTCTTCTTTTTTTTTTAAATTTTATTGAGTTCTACACTTTTCTCTGCTCCCCTTCAACTCTCTCCCATGGTCCTCATGCTCCCACTTTACTCAGGAGATCTTGTCTTTTTCTACTTCCCATGTAGATTAGATCTATTAGGGTCCTCATTGTTGTCTAGGTTCTCTGAGATTGTGACTTGTAGGCTGGTTTTCTTTCCTTTATGTTTAAAAACCACTTATGAGTGAGTACTATGATAATTGTCTTTCTGGATCTGGGTTACCTCACTCAATATCATATTTTCTAGCTCCATCTATTTACCTGCAAATTTCAAGATGTCATTATCTTTTTCTGCTGTGTAGTACTCCATTGAGTAAATGTACCACATTTTCCTTATCCATTCTTTAGTCAAGGGGCATTTAGGTTGTTTCCAGGTTCTGGCTATGACAAATAATGCTGGTATGAACATAGTTGAGCACATGTCCTTGTGGAATGATTGATCATCCTTTGAATATATACCCAAAAGTGGTATTACTGTGTCTTGAGGAATGTTGTTTCCTAATTTTCTGCGAAATCACCATACTGATATCCAAAGAAGCTGTACCAGCTTACATTCCCACCACCAATGTAGGAGTGTTCCTTTTACCCCACAACCTCTCCAGCATAAGTTGTCATCAGTGTTTTTGATCTCGGCCTTTCTTACAGGTGTAAGATGGAATCTCAGAGTTGTTTTGATTTGTATTTCTCTGATGACTAAGGATGTTACGCATTTTTTTAAAGTGTCTTTTAGCCATTTTAGATTTCTTTGTTGAGAGTTCTCTGTTTAGGTCTGTTCTCCATTTTTTATTGAATTATTTGTTCTTTCGATGACCAATTTCTTGAATTCTTTGTATATTCTGGATATCAGCCCTCTGTCTGATATCTGTCTGTGGGGTTGGTGAAGATCTTTTCCCATTCTGTAGGCTGTCGTTTTGTCTTGTTGACCATGTCCTTTGCTTTACAGAAGCTTCTCAGTTTCAGGAGGTCCAATTTGTTAATTGTTTCTCTCAGTGTCTGTTTAGGAAGTGGTCTCCTGTGCCAATGCATTCTAGTGTACTTCCCACTTTCTCTTCTATGAGGGTCAGTGTGGCTGGTTTCATGTTGAAGTTTTTGATCCATTGGGACTTGAGTTTTGTGCATGGTGATACATATGGATCTATTTTCATTCTTTTACATGTTGATATCCAGTTATGCCAGCACCATTTGCTAAATATGCTTTCTTTTTTCCATTTACTTCTTTGTAAAAAAAAAAAAATCAGGAGTTTGAAGGTGTGTGGATTTAAATCTGGTTCTTCGATTCGGTTCCCTTGGTCCTCCTGTCTGTTCTAATGCCAGTACCAGGCTGCTTTTAGTACTGTAGTTGAGCTTCCATTCTTCTTGCACTGTGAATCCCATCTTCTTTAGACTAAGGGATCACTCCTCACAGCATTCTCCCTATCTTAATTCACATCATCTCTTGTGCCAGATTTTACATTCCCATGCCTTGCTTCTCTTGAGAGCTGTTTCCCTGCAGGCCTTGCACCTGCTCCTTCCCCCTGCAGGTCTGCTGACTCAGAGCCAGCCCACCAGTCAGGCCTAGGAGCATCCCTGGAAACCACATTCCTTCGTAAAGGCTCAACTTTCTGTAATGACTCCAAATATATATCTTGAGACATTTCCTTCGAATGTCGCTGCTATTGCTTAAAGGGTGAAACTCAACTCATGTTTACTCTTCAGAAAATGTCTGGACTTTTTCATTTTGTTAATGGCATTTCCAAAGTTTCCTGTAATTATCCAAAGTAGGAGTAAGCAATTACTCCCTAGTTTTCATCTCCTCCTTTTCCCTTTTTAAAACTATTTCATGTCCTATTGTCTCTATCCAGTATCTTTGACCTAGGTCATAGTCTATCTGTGCTTGGTTGTTCCTCTTTGTAGCGAGCAAGGGAAGCCCCAGGAGAGTGTGCATTGTTTGGCATCAGCACAGCCATATGGCTTAGCCCCATGAGAGTGTCAAACCTTTCCCTGGGTTAGGCTCAGAGGGAGACTCAAGGTGTACTTGGGTGTGAGTGTGAATGTTGCCTTGTGTGCAGAAAGTGATCACCCTGGATATTTACGGCCCGATTACTCCGCTCAGAGACTGCTCTTACTAGATTAGCTAAACTGGCCTCCTTGTTCAGCTGTATGCGATAACTATGCCCCCTTCCCTTTTCAGCTGTATAATGACCACGCCTTCTTCCCTGTTCAATTGCATGTGATAACCACGCCTCCTTTCCTGTTCAACTGTATGTGATGATAACCACGCCTCCATTTCTGTTTAACTGTAT